TATAACTATGATAATAAATATAATAAATAAAATAATGATAAACGTTATAATAATGAAAATGAATATCACAATGATAGCTGTGATAGCAGTGAAATCAGTGAAAACAGTGATCATGATTTTCCTAGTGATCATTGGTGATGTTAGTTGGCACAGTCATTTAGTTGCGCAAATAGATTATCACTAACAACGCGATAATGCAATATTTTATTATTTAAAACAATTTAAGTAAAAAAATTTACATGAAAATCCCAAAAGGGTACAAAAGTAGAAAAATAAAAATTGCTGCCTAATATTCATTATTAGAAACTAGCTTCCATCAGACTAACCAGTTGTCTTGTCTGATTCTGATTATAAAGATTTACTGAACAATCATCAATACCAAACTAAGAAAGGAACCATTAGAGTAACTGGTTATTATCAGTCCAAAAAGAGGGACCAATATCGACCATATTTGTAAGATTTATTGATTAATGTAAAGTGATCTAAAATGTCTGTATTAGTAGCAAATATATTATTAGAGAAACTATTGAAGAAAAGTTAATGTTAGACGAGGTAAAATTGCCTTTCTTTTATCATTTTATTATTTGTAAAGATCTTTCTTTGTCTAAAGTTAAAGTGCATCTAGTCTTTCATATGTTGTCATAAGCTTGATTAAAGACAAAATCAAAAAATAAAGAAAGAATTGAAAGAGTGAGAAAAGGCAATTTAGTAAATGTTGTTAAGGTTGATGATAAAATATTAGAAACAATGTATTTGATAAGATCTATGAAGGAGAAATCATGTGAAGATACTTATATAGATCATATTACGTGGAAAGGATTTAAAAGATTATCAATTTCATTTGTGAACTCAGTTTTTGAAGTATAGATGAATAATTGTAATTTTAAATAAGCAACAGATTCAGCAATTAAAGATCGAGTGTAATGTTTAATATTAGGGCAAAGCCACATGTGGTTAAAGTCTTCATTATGATTATTACAATAGCAGTATTTCTAGGATAGCGAATATAGTTGAGGTTAAGTGGCTTTCATGAACTGAACCATTGGTAATTGTTCAAGAAGGAATTTAAGTTTTCTGCAATGTCTTCTTGTTTCATTGAAAGAAGTGAAAGATGCTGTTCCATTCTGAATAATTTGAAAAGTCAAAATCCAATTAACTTGTAAGAATTGATATTTAGTATTTCTTTTGAGATAGTAATAATCAGAGAAATGCCTAGTATTGGTGTAATCTTTTAAAAAAGAGCATAAGGGATGATGTATAGGCATGTTATTAAATACAGATATATAATTAATGAAGGGAATATGGTCTAATGATAAGTTCAGAAGAGGAGAAAAGAGTAATGATTTTGCTAATTTATTAGCCTTATCATTATATGGATCATTGGAGTGGGCATCATAAATTTATCTTTTGTAAGTAAAACTTCATTTTTAATAATAATAATAAATAAATAAATAAATAAATATTACCATTAAATTATTTAAGGATCTGAAGGTGACAATAGAGGCCCTTTTGCAATTATGATCAATGATTTGGCTAAATATAAATGAATAATATTCATATCGGCGGCAGGGAATGATGGTATTTTAGGCGTATTTATTAGTTTGATGCCATCGGATATTCAAAATACAATTAGTGTCGGTTCATTCAGAACTGATAAAGTTGTTAATTTCAAAGCCTTTGATCCAAAGAATCCAGAATTTGTTATTAGTATGTTTTATTTCAATTTGCAAATTTCATTATTAAAAAAAGAAATACGAATTAAAAATTTTGCTAACTATATTACAAGAAGTGCATTGTCATTTCCGTTCCAAAGTGCTAATGTTAAATTGTTTCCAATGAACAAATGTTCAAATGATTACAAAGAATTTATTAATATACTAATTATCATAGACTTTAGAGAAAATTTATCATGTATCGATATAATGATTTGTGTATATCTTACATTATTTTATTTTTAATTTTTTTTTTTAAAAAAAAAGCAACTTTATTTTCATAATTTTTTATTTCTAGTTTAATAACGAAACCCTTAAGCCACTCGGGCGATTTTTAATTTTTCCTGAAGGTTTACCGGACGTGAGCGTGAGAAATGATGCAATGATTGATTCGAGTCAAGCCGATATTTTAATTCAATATCTGGAAAAAAATACAAATTTGAAGTTTGATATATGGAATATAAACCATATTCAGTAGTTCCTTCGGTATTTTCAAGTTGGGTTTAAGTGTCGAGTTAGATATCAAGGTAAGAAATATGTCTCTAAAATAAGTCACATCGTCAGTTTTATTTCTTATAAAAAAAAAAAAAATAAACAAATTCTATAGCCTGAAATTTCCGCACCAGGTCAACATATGTTTTCAACTTTCCTTGTCAAACAAGCTCTATGAATAACAACTCTCACAACTCTTTTCCTCGACGGCATATAAGCTCTATGAATAGCAACTCTCATAACTCTCCAGTGCCTTAATATTAAACAAGCTCTGTAGAAAATCAATATGTAGCCGATAATTGAATAAAAAGAACAGAAGCTATCTGAAATATTCAAGAAAGAGTGCCCAATTTGCAAGTACCAAATTATATTAAAATAGTTGATGACGATCAGAATAATGAGCTGACTCAAAGCACAATCAGCTACCCTAGTACACCTATTAGGCCTATTACCTAGAAGAAGGCATGATTTTTAATTGAGTAATATGATCTACTAATATTACTTTAAATGATTTTTTTACATTTTTATCTAGAGATTGAAAGGTTAAAGGAAGAAGTCAAACATTGGCAAGCGCAAGTTCACTTCTGGCAAAATCGGCATGATGATTTTCTTAATCAGGTTAAAAAAATTTCAAAAGATGTGAACCGCTTAAAATTGGAAAATGATGCGTTAATCAAGAACTTGAAAGAATTAATGATGAATTAAAAGCAAAGGTTGAACAAAATAGATCTGGTAGTTCATCGACAGATATATCGAGTACTGACAAAGATAATTTTATAATACCTCTCGACCAAAAAAAAAAACAAAGACCATTATTATTTCAAAAGCCACGAGTAAAAATAAATCTATAGAGGCTGAAAATGAAGCAGCAAGAGTTTGTAAAATTTTCTGATTTTATTGTGCCATAGCGAAACCTTTTATCTTCACCTTTTTTTTTCTTTTTTTATAATAATTAGACCGAAATGAAAGAAATTTTAAAAACTTTATCATCGTTATATGAAATGAGATATGATAAGGTTTTTAATAGTCCAGAGAACAAGAAAATTCAGCAAAAATTAGTACCTGAACTACTGAGGTCATTACGGCCATGTTATAACCCCTCATATAATAAACTAAAAGAATGGCTTTGTGCTTTGCATAAACATCGAAGAGACGGCTACTTATTAAATAAAAAAGAAACACAAGGTCAGACAAGTTAGCGAGTACACAATCAGATCTCAGGGGCACGAAATTAGATCATTTTTTATATTTAATATTTATTAACAGAAGTTGAACATAATTATATTTTTTTAAAAAATATAGAAAAGAGACTGTAGAATGAGAGGCGTTAATGCTTTATTTAATGAAAAAGATGTCTGAATCTCAAAATATAACCGTGATGAAATCATGAAAATACTCAAGAATAATGCTTATCATTCACCTGAGCTATCAGAAACAGATTCGGATAATAATGAGAAAAATGTCAAATAGTTGTATATGACTATCCCTGGTGTTCGAATGAGATTTGTCAAATATTCCAACTTATTTATATAATGTATATAAATTATTTATTATATAATTCTAAATTTTTTAGTTAATGAACCTTCTACGTAGAGTTTTAACAAGCGGGTATTATTACAACAGTCGTCACAACTATCAAAGCCTCGAATTTATGATGATAAATATTTTTATAAAGAAGGACAACTACTAATAAATATACCTAATTGGGCTTGTAAACAGTTAAACACTCCTACTATCAGAACTCTCGTTCAGCCACCTAGTGATTAAGATACCTCACTCATTTATAGTGCTAAAGAAGAGTATAGACATGGTGAAACTTCTATAACTGGAATGATCAGAGGAGCTATTCAAGAAGCTGATTTACGAAACTATCAAGTTAATATACCCGCTGATGATATCTCTGATGATATCCCAATATATTATACTGATGAAGAAGAGGAGGATTATGATATTGAAGAATGAATGCTTTTTATTTTTTTAGCTCTAGTAACTTTTCCTTTTTTATAATACTTCTAGATTATGATAATTTTTATTGCTGCTAAATAAAATAATTGAATTTAAAAAATCAGGAATTATAAATATTTACAAATGATGTGCTAACTTCCAACCAAAAAATAATAACATTTCGTCTAAAATCAACCATGCTAATTCTGGCCGAAATGGAGTTTTTCAACCTGTGATTTTTTCATGTTCATCAATTTAATCATAAATATAAATCAGAAAGGAAGTTCTGATATAATCAAAAGTAATAATTATTTTTGTATTCATGTAAATATTTAACAGTTTTGGGATTATTTGTAGACATATATTTTGTTTTATATCATAACTTAATTTAGAAAAATTGTTTAATTTACTATTTTATTAACATTAGCAAAAGAATTAAAACAATTTATTTTAATATAACAATTTAATTTATTTTATAATAAAATTTAACAGCAAATCATTTTAATGATTAGAAATAGAAATTCTTTTTATCTATTTTTAGTGATCCTTTAAACTAATTTTTTTTACAATAAGCACAGGTAGCATTATAATATCCTTTTGAAATTTGTCAACCTTGTTTAATATATATTATTCTATTATAGATTTTGATTTTCTACTATGCTTTATTTGTATTTTTTAATTACAGTATAAACTATTTTAAATAAATAGTATTACATTTTAATTATTGAATTAATCTATTTTAGATAAAAACTAGAATTTATTTTGCATTACAGATGATTTTCTTATCTACTTTTTTTTTGTATTTTAATAAAATAATTTTATTGCTATTTAGATTGAAATAAGTAATTTAGTTTTTAATATTTTTTTAGTCTAATGTATTCTTTCATCAAAAAATTATTCTAGAGAAAAAAAAGAATTAGTAATTAGTAATCTTAAATAATATAAAAAAAATTATCACTTACTTACAACTATGATAAATTGATCAGTTTGACTAATCTATTACAGTAAAGAAGAGTTTTATTTTTTTATTAATTATAGTTTTATTTTTTTATTTGTTTAATTATTACGTTTTTCAAAATTGTGCTATCCTTGCAAATCATTATTATAATATAATTATCATTTTTATGATTATCAGATTATTACTACTAGTATAACCAGCTATTTTTAATTTCTTACTATGCATTTTTATCGCGTTTTCTTAACTTTTTTTTGTTACTATAGTTTAATATAAAATTGGTATATATTATGGTTATCATAAGTGCATGTATTGCAGTTGTGATCTAAATGTGAATAATTGCAAATGTGATAAATAGTAAAACCTAAAAAATCAAACTATACATCTCAAGTTCTATATACTTTTAGATGAACTTTTGATAATGACCTTAATACTAGTAAAAAACTTTTATTCAAGAATGAAATGCACTTATTCTTATAATAGTGACCTTACAAAAGGTTTAGTTTTATTTTATATTTTATATGTAATAGTTCATTTCAAAACTCCTAAAAAACCACTTCTCAAAATGCTACTCAAAATACCACAACTTAAGATACTACTCCTTAAGATATTTCCTCTCAATATAGCTTTTATCAAAATATAAATATTATTACTATTGATGATGATTTACTAATTCTTCTACTATTGCTGATTTTAACAAAATTTTCAAGATAAAAATAATGAAAAAAATGAAGAAACTCTACAAAATGATATCTCATTTACTTTTATTATAAAAAACAGATGGAAAATCATTACTGGAAAAGTGGCTTACTTTTGATGTATCTACCTTTAATAAATTTATTGTTTAAATTCAAAAATATGTTAGATCTATGATGGGTATTAATAATATTTAAATAAACATTCATGACATCGCCCCTTCTTTTAATCAAGCAGAATATTCTTTAACTTTCAAATCAGCAAAATCAAATGGTGAAGGTTTAGAATTGAGTGAATCAAAAGATTTTGAGAAATTATTAAATAAGTATGAAAAATTATTCAAAGCAAAAAAGGAGATTATTGTAATAGCAAAAATTAAGGTGATCAAATGAAAAAAACTTTCTAATCTGTATAATTATAAGTAATTATATATAGTTACTTTACTTTTACTAATTTTTTGATTAAGAAGAAGAACTTGAATCTGATGATTCTGATGATTCTTTATTAAATGAAAATGCATCAAAAAAGAAAAAGGCAAATTCTATTCCTAAAATTTCAGGTCTGACTCCTCATCAAAAAATAATTGGTAAAATAGTAACAGAATTTCGTGAACAATAGCATTATTCACAAGAGAATTTGTCATGTTATGTTGCTCCAGAAATTCACTTGAAATTAACTAAAAGGATGAACTGCAACTATTGAAATTGCGTTAACCTATCCAAAATTTGATGCACAACATGTAACAAAAAAACATGTATTTGTCATTAGCTATACTGATGTCATCTCCAGTATTTTCGGCCTACCCTTTTCAATATATACCTTCGCTACCTCCTCAATATTGTATAGTTTCTAAGGAATCTTTAATGCCTGTTTCTAATTTTAATGATTTATCACAACCACAACTTTTCATTTCAAATATTTCAAATATAAAAGAATTCTTGAAAAAATTAGATAAAGATGAAGGTAATAATGGGGAATTTACACAATTCATTGATGCATTTAATGAACAAAAAATATCTAAATATTTTTATTTTATTTTTATAATTTTATAATCTTTATAAATATTTATTTAGTAACACTGTTTATAAAATAATTATTATAAAAACAGTTTGTAATTACATAAATAAACTTTTATAAGAAGAAAATTTCTTAATAAATCGAGGAGTATGAATACGTGTCATATGATATGTATAATCGGAAATTAATATCTAAAATTTAATAATTTACAAAAAAAAAATATATATAAATAAGCCTTCAAATTTTAAGTTGCTTTTATCATATGATGAAATTATGTATAGAAAGAAGTTTTAATTTAATACAATGAAATGAAATAATATCGAAAATTAAAATCTGTTGTTTATCTATTTTAAAAAAAAATTAACCATACTTTTAAACAGAAGCCTAAGTGTATAAACATTATTGGAATTTACTGATTAGTATAAGCTACGATTCTTATGACCAAAAAACCGATATTAATTTTTCCTTTCAAGAAATTTATTTTCCTTCGCCAATAAATTAGTTTTTTGTTTTTACGATCTAATTTCGTTATGGATTTTTAACACTTTTCGAGCAAACTTACTTTTCAAAATGTTTTTTTAACGTCAAGCTCGGGTTGGAAAATAACTAAGGAACATTCGAAATAATCTCTATAATAGTCAGTCGTTTTGACAATATTGTAGGAAATTCCTCCTTAATACAAATGTATTTAAAGCATAAGCACAAACTCTTAATTCATTGTTAATTTCTACGTAAGATCTCTGAATAACTCCGATATATCATATGCTGCAAAGCTTTTGTGATTAGAGATTAAGGCTCGACCATATTCGGAAGCGTTATTAGAATTCTGATAAATACAGTTACGTGGTACATTATTTTGTTAACTTTTTCCATTTTGACTAAAAAGAATTCGACAAGTTCAATATTAGATACCTCAGCTCTAAGTTCAGACTTTAGCCTAGAGAAAATTCTGGATGATAATTTCTAAATTATTTGCTGAACATTAGGTAGCTTTAAGCTAAGCTTTTATATGCAATGTAATAAGACCGTTCTTTGCTACATTAAGTCTATTAAATCCAACACCAACCGACAGGCTTTAATTGATAACAATGAAATATCACTATTATTTCTTTTTCGATTTGTTATAAAAGACCAAACTATAGATATTATGTCCAAATTTCAAATGATTCAGATTGCCTTTATCTGACGTATTTGCCAAAAAATCTCCAAATATGGCGACTGATAATTCAAACAAAGTTTGAACTCTAGATCTTAAAGGGATTCCGCTGTAAAAAGACAATTTTTCTTCCTTGATGGAATGTTACATAGAAGTTAACTGTGTAAATGCATTAATCTTATAATGGGCATTTAAGATTTTTTGAAGGTATACGAACGATGTCATATGTATATTCTAGTTTCCGGAACATTACGTGATTTTTTCACGATTAATCTCTTTCGACAGTCTCTTCTTCGGCTCCAAATAATCGTTCACGATGTTTACCTGAAATTTATCCGCATTTGACTTGAAATTCTGCATCAATAATATTCCGGAGAGTTAGTTTGAAAGGTTTATGTGTTTTAAATCTATTAAACGTATTCTTTAAATTTATTCTTGATTCGCGTCACTTCCAAAGTTCTATTAATTTGTTCATGATATGGAATTATTTTTTTACTTAATAATACATTCTTGTATTTCAATTACAATTATATAGAAGATGGCATATTTTGAGAATTGTTTCATTTATTTAATATTTATATTAATAATATCTTATCCTTTTTAAAAGTTCCTAAGCTTGAATGCAAACATGAAAAGATGAATAAATTTAAATGATGTTTTAATATAATAATTTATAAAGGTTTAAAATGAGAAGGGATTTGTTAAAAAAAAATTTTTTTTATTCTTATTGCAGGTTGTAAATATTTATTTTAATAAAATTTATGAATTAGAATAATTAATTCGAAAGGAGCAATAAATAGGCTTGGGAGAAATAATTACCACCTTGTAAATGAATTTGAAAAAAAATAATATTTATTTAAATAAAATTGATTAATATTATAATGAGCATTTTATGTTGAAAGATTATGTTTTCCGAAAGAAATAAAATATCTTTTAATAAGAACAACGATAGTTAGTCTTCCTTTTCAATTTTAAAATAGAACAACATAAAAATTTAACTTTTCTTGTACAAATAAAAAAATTTCAACAAATCTCACTCGTTTTTATTAAAAATATTTGTGCTGTGCAATCTATTTCTCATTTGAATTATAATTCGTTGAGTAAAGTTTCATTTATTATTTCAAATAAATTGATATTCTATTGTTATGTTTAAAATGAAAATGTAACAATATATATAAAGTTTCGCTATTCAACCTGACATACTAAATTTTTTAATAACACCTAACTTTACAAATTTTTCAAACATATTCATATTTTCATTTTTAAAGTCTAAATTATTCGCGGCATACATGTTCTTGAAAGAAAAATTAAGTGATTTTTGTGGTGTACGATCCTTCCAACTTGTAAAAAAGGATTCCAATTCTTTTGAAAATAATTTTGAAAGTGATTTAGATGTATAAAATAATGATAAGTTATAGAAAGTTTTAGGTGAATACTTTACAACAACCTCCAACAATTCAATTTCATTTAAATAGTCACTCCCACACCAAACTTCAAAACCTTCCAATCGATGACAATTATTTAAAATTACTTTAAACTCTTCCATTTCATTCCTTTTAAGAGTAACGCAGAAAAATTTCAGATTTGAACAAAATTTACCTATTGCTACATTAATTGAATTATTATAATTATAAAGCCCATAATATTTCTCCAAGTAATTTCCATTATTTTCTAAGAATTTAATGACATAGGCTGGTTTTATATGTTGATTATTTAATTGCAACTCTCGTAATTGTGGAAAGACAACATGTTGTAACCTTTTAAAATCTTTGAAAGAATCTTTAAAACTATTTAATAAAAGTACTTGCAAGTTTTCGCAATTAACGAGAAATAGTAATGATGCTTCAATAACCCCATTGATATCTACTTTGGTTAAAGTATTTGAATGCTTTGCTACAAAGGAAATTAACCTTTTCAAATAGTCACTGTTATAAATATATGATTGATGGATTATAATAATCTTTAAATTTTGCTGAACGGAAATCAAATCAGCTAATCCATCCGAAATGTCTGATTTAAGTGTTATGCTTAGTGATTGCACGTTATGACATATTCGAGATAATTGATAAAAAAATTCGGAACGGATATCTGAACCACAGTCAAACTCTGAAAGATTTGTTAAACAATCGATTGCTCCAGGATAAGAGTAAAATGTAAAGTTTGGAATGTCTATTGATCTAATCATTAGTTTTTTTACAGAAGAAATTCGGCTCATAAACATTTTAAATATTTCCTGGATTATTACTACTAACTTGTTATCGATAAGGTATTGTGAAGCGAGAGGGTGATGATTTATAAAGATTCTAACAAATTTATCAATTGAAAGATATCTAAGAAACGAAACATAATTAAATAGTGGAGGTTTCAAGGATGGATTTATAATAATTTCATTATTATATAAGGTTTCTTTTGACTCTTTGGGAAGACAATCAATTAAGGTACTATAATTCCAAATTCTTCTCCATAGGATTCTAACAGAAACTTCACACCAAAGACGATTAACAAGCAAGCACGAATGTAAAGCGACATTGTCGTTCAATATCTCAAATATTTCATTTAAACAGTCAGCGGGAAGTTTGCGAGACATTTTAATAAAACTATTTAATAAAAAAAAAAAGGGAGGAGAAGGAATCATCATGTTTAACGTTGATCAAAAGGAATGGCAATTTATAGTTTGTAATTGTGTAACAAATATTGAATTAAATTAAGTTTGGTTTGCGGCGATCATATTTCGAAAATTCCGCAGAAATAATAATTTTTGGCATTGTTAAATGTGGAAAAAAATTTTTTTCGTCGAAATTCATTACAAAGCGAACAATTTGATAAACTGGGATTGATCTAAATATTGTTTATATGAAAGTTGAATTGTCAGATAAGACTTAAAAATTTAAAAGGAAATCAATTTCAACATCAGTCAGATCTGCAAATTGCACGTTTATTTTGATCAGGAAAAAAAAACATCTATACGGGATTCCAAACATGGTCCACTAGTTATATAAGATGATAGAGGTAAGCAAGGTGTTAACAGATCATCAGTTTAGTTCAAGTTCTAAAAAGTACTAAATCACATTGCACATTTTAAAGTATCTTTGCATTAAATTAAATTTGATATTTTGAATTTTAAATAATTCTGTTGACGATTTGAAATTGCTGGTTTTATTTAAAATAAAAGACTGGACTTTATAAATTATTTGTCCTAGATATCAAATAAAGTACCTTTTCTATCTGCGAATGAAATGGGAGTTTACTGGTTAATGCAAAAAATTATTTTGATCTAATAAATGAAAAAACAACGAGTGAAATCAAAATTTGACGAAATTATTGATTTATCAAAGAGTACACAATTAATTTGTACGAACCGAACATAATATCACCAAGCTTCTCGGCATTGTATTATGTTTAATCGGCATAATAGTTGACTTAACATATAAATTAGGATAATGTGCCTGAAAACAAGTAAATGATTTAAGAACTCGGTTACAATTGATCCTTGTAAAGCCATCATCTTAAATAAATAATATTACTTATTTTTGCAATATTGGTCGAGATTATAGTATGAGCAAAAGACTAATCTCTCAAATATTCGTCATATTATTTTTAATAAAAATAGTTTTATCATTCGTCAATAATTTTAATATGTTTTGATGATGTGGAAAGTTTGCTATTTAAATTTGTTACTTAAGTATAATAAGTCATATGATGTAACATGATTTAACCCATGCGTCCATAATTTTCAGTTGCTGCTACTAATTCACTTTACCTAAGTAAATGAAGAATTTGATATATTTACTGAAGAATTTGTTAAAGATTTTTCATCAAATTTTATAGGAGAAAAATACAAGATTTTCATAATTTATAGCGTTTAAAATATTTGAACACGTGGTGGCAAAATTTTTATTAAAATTAATTAGACATACTTAATAATCCTTTTAGTTTATTTAGTAGTTTATATTCTTTTTAAATAAAAAAAATATACTTAAAGATTAATAATATCAAAGAATATATTACATAACAGATCTACAACCGAAAGTGTCCTACTCTTACGTTAAAAATTTAGGATATTTCTTGAAGGCTCTTATTTCAGTAACAATATTCATTTAAATACATATGCACAATATGTAATCAATAATTTTTAAGTGTATATTAATTCTTCATTTTGTTTGATTCATCAAAAGATAATTTAAACTTCATATTAACATAACTTATAGAATAAAATTTGTGGTGAAGTGAAAAATGAGGAATTCAAGTCTAATAAATAGAAATGAAGTGTTAAGATTTCTACATAAAGATTTCTACAAGCTTGCAATCCACTGCGCCTTTGTTTCACCAATGAACAACATAAAATAATGTATAAATTGGTAGATATCCTTGAAGAATTACTTAAAGCTCTTCTTTCTCTTCCTCCAAACAATTATATTCGTAATAATAATTTTTCTCTCCCTTCCAGTTTATATCGTGATTTGAGGTCATAGATTCATTTACGCGGTCGACTTTTTCATGTTGGTATTTGGGTAATTATTATGCTTGTGAACTACGGTCCAGGTCGAACTATCAACATTAATTCGCGGTCATAACGCTAGAGCACCAATTTTGTCTACGCTTCTAATCTCCGTACGAACCCAATTCATAATTATATGCTAGGGGACGAGTGTTATAATACCACTCGAGGTTGGCGAGAAATTATATTTGCAGGTCAAAACCTTAAATGATGAGTCTTCTAGAATTAATAATTTTAAAACTTCAAAACTTTTTTAAGGGCCGTTTAACATCCTTAGATTTTACAAATGTGAGATGATAGAAAAAATACAATTACAGACACAGTAAAACTTTTCAAATCATTTAGTGTGATATAAAATTTTTTATCCCGGCTAAATCAGATGACAATAATCAGCTGATTTTTGATATTACAGCAATATTTTGAGTACGATTTATTTTAAAAATTCAATTCCGCCCATATGTTCAAACCAATAAGCAAGCAAATAATCTAATATGTTTTTTTAATTAAGCAAATCAAATTATCTTAAAAGAATTCACCCTGCTGGCCCAGCAACCCAAATGAATTTTTGTAAGATAATTGAAGGTGCAGGACTAACTGTATAAGCAACGGTATTGATACGCGATGTTCCACCTGAAGAAGATTATGAAGTAGTTCTTTTGAGAGTTTTGTGGTAAGGAAAATGTGGTGAACTTACTTCTTTATTGTTTTTTGAAATGTCAGCTGTAAGCGTGTATATTAAGAACAAAGTTTTTAAAGTTAGTCCAGGAAATAAACCTTCGAACTTGTTATTGTGTTTTTGTGCCAACCTTATTTTTCTAAAATAATATTACCTTTTGAAATGGAAGTTGAGAA